CCCAGCGTGCCCGTCAGCGCCGGCCGGCCCCCGTCGCTCGCTGTCAGCAATAACCGGTGCACAGCCAGCGTCTCGCGGTCCAGCGCTTTCGTTAGAACAAGAGCTAAAGAAGCGCTCTGGTCATCATTCCCCTGATGATCGAGCCCGAAATGCTCGCTGGGGCTGAGGGTGTACGAGAGCTGCGCGTTGGCTCCGATATCTGCATCCGACGCGCCCTCCAGCGGGAAACGAGACCCCGGCAGCGACGACTCCGCGATGGTGAGGTTAGTCTTTCATTATCGTGTTAGTAGCGCACAAATATACCCATGAAGTTTCTGCGTGTAATTCTATTTTTTCCAAGGACGAAAAGAAAGTAATAAATAGCTAGAAGTAGCCTGTTCTATTTATTAATGGTCGATGTCAATCTATTACAATCCAACAGAATAAACCTGCTGGTTTGCATTACTGCTAACAAGCAAAATATTCTGTGGATTTGAACAGACTTTTTTCCATACTTCACCTCCAGATGCTAAACGACAAAACAGCCTCGGCTGGTTCAACAGGGATGATTGGGAGCCCCTTTCAATCAGCGCACACGAACAGGCAATTCAGTTTTTCATCCAAACAGAGCATCGCTCCCACTTCCTTACTGGGAGAACAGGTCTTGTCGTGAGAAGGAACCTTCTGCGAGCAGTAGCCTCCTCACCTTCCTCTCGCGGCCTGCGGCGGCTTTCTGCTCGGGCAAGGACGCTCCGTTGCTGTTCGCTCGGCCGAAAGCTCCGCGGTTTCCCTTCGGAACGTTTCCCTTCATTTAACACGATAACAGGTCTCCTCTTCTCTTTTCTCTTCTCTTCTCTTCTCTTCTCTTCTCTTCTCTTCTCTTCTCTTCTCTTCTCTTCTCTTCTCTTCTCTTCTCTTCTCTTCTCTTCTCTTCTCTTCTCTTCTCTTCTCTTCTCTTCTCTTCTCTTCTCCTTCTCCTTCTCCTTCTCCTTCTCCTTCTCCTTCTCCTTCTCCTTCTCCTTCTCCTTCTCCTTCTCCTTCTCCTTCTCCTTCTCCTTCTCCTTCTCCTTCTCTTCCCTTCCAGCACTTGAATTGATAAATACTTGCCAAAATATTCCCTTAAACACCTACATTAACCCAGGAATCACACCTGGTAAGGTGTTCACTGAAAAGAACCTATCCCACTTCTGATCTCCTGACATTGGCTTCTCTGCACGTTGTTGAGGAGGCATAACTCAGTTTCCTCATTTAGTTCTTTCTTTGCGAAGATAGTTCAGTTGTTTACAGAAGAAGACTGTGTCCTGATCTACCATCTATGGAAAGTACTTAGGTCTCCAGAAGACATAGATTCACATGGAATTTATTTGTGTCTAGTGCAGCAATGCTAAAAACAAGCAGAAATTTCTCACTTTTTAATAACTTTGTGATGGTGATGTAGCTGAGCAACCCCACACATTCTACTTGGTTTTGATACAGTAAACAATAGAGTGAGGACATCTTATTACAAAAATGTGTGTGTGTGTCTGTAACAGAATAGTTTTGCCTTTTGAAGTATAAGTCCAAGCTAAGAAGCCAGCAATGCGTGCAAATTCCAAAGACTTTCAACTCCATCAGTGACTCCCTTACTCTGTGTGTCAGTCTAAACATAACCCACAGCACAAATCCTATTGGAAGGGTGAAATAGCTCAGGGAACCTGAGCTCTCTAGTAGTATTTACATGTGTCAGTAAAGTATTTCCTGTCAGTTGTATTCCTCACTTGTAGTCGCACAATTAATCTCAAGTTCTTTACTCTCTTTTAAGGAAGGTGGGCACTCACAGTACAGAGAAACAATGTACCCATTACTGAACGAGATGAGCCGCTGCAGGATGTGGTACTCTCATCCACCCACCACATAACTTTGTTGAAGACAACACAAAAAGGTTGTGCCACTGCTTTGGCAAGGTACAGTTTGTCTTAGAACATGTTGCCAGGCTTCCACCTCATCCACTGACGTAACACACCGGGGCCCTTATCTGCACAACTACAGACACTTGTTGCTGTCCTGCCACGCAGGCCAGGCAGAATGAAACACATGATTTCACATGGTAGTGATTTGCTTGTTCTGCCGCAGAAGCATCAATGGTGCAACAGGAGATCAAACCAAAATGGATATACCAAATGCTGAAAAAAATCCAGGTAGGTCTATTGATAAATCATTTTTCACTACATCTGTTGCTCTTCTAACCGTTATCTTGACTTATTTCCAGGTCTCCATTGTCAGGGCCAAGTTCTAGGATCATTGTTCATCATTTCAATGAAACAGGGCTGGAAAAGCAATCAGGTTTTGTCCAGCCTCTCAAATCCCTGCTGTACTGTCAGTGTTTCTGTGCCCACTTCTATGAAGGCGGAAAGAGAAATCAAACTAGAAGTCTCATGGCATTCTCTCGAGGTAAACATCACCTTAAGAGACTACATGACAGTGAACACAGTGATGGTAAGAAGCACTAATTCTTAAATCGAACAGCCAGCACTGTTTAGCAGCATGCCTCTCACTCACAATTACTGACGAATCTCCTGAGCAAGGGAAGCTAAGCCACACTGTCTATCAGGAAAGCAGGAGTTTCAAGTGCTGTCCCAGTTCATACTCACATGATCATTATAAGGCATGCACACGAGACAAAATAACAGTTTATTTTAGAAAGTATTCTCAGAAAGTAGGAGGGGAAAAAAAAAAGCCTATCACACCAGAGTGCATGCACCTAGCAGAGTCAGGAACCATAGGTGAGCTGTATCTACAGATACATTTGCCCACCAAAAAAAAAGTCCTCTAGCAATACACGTTGCATAATGTAGCACTACTAGCTGCATGTTTTTCACACCTGCCTTGGTTTGTGCTCTTCTGCCACTAAGTAATTTGTATTAAAAAGCACTTATACATCATATTTGAAAAGGAGCAATGTAAATGCTTCTACTATCTTTTCCATGTCCATAGTAATTCTCTAGTATTTCACAAACTAAGATATGCCACACAGGTGAACAGAGAAGAACCTGGAGTATGAACTGTGGTCACCTCGCATGATCCGTGTTTCACAGGAGAACTAAAACGGAGATCAGATTTCTGATTAAGAAAAGACTGGAAACCAGCAATTGGCAGTAGCCAAAAGCAAGAAGTTATTTAAAACTGCCCTACCTGCAAGACAGAAAAACGTACACAAATTAAGACACTCCATAAAGAATGAAAGGCTGAAAGAGGCACTTAGAGCTGTGGTTAACTGCGCAGACAGCAGGAAAACCAAAACTGGTCACTTGAGCAAGATAATAAGGTCAACACTGAGGTCAGGCAGAGACCTTTGCCGGGATCTGTGCCATTTAATAGCTCATCAAGGGATCTCAAAAAGTCACGGAAAGCAAATTAGCAAAGATTACACAAGGTATTACCATACAGAGCAGAGTTAAAACACTGGTCTGCTGAGGAGAACTGCAGAAAGAGTTCAGGACCCTGGACACCTACATGAGAAAACAGCAAAAGATTTTCCATGCAGGACATCAAAAAACTGAGCAGAAGAGGAAAAAAAAAAAAAGAGACTGTAACTGACTCTAAAACAGCTATGTAAGGTTATGAAATTACATCTTTGGCACAGCAGACAGTGATGTGGATATATCACCTCTGTTCTCAGTGCCAGTAAAAAAGGTAAGACTGAAGAGACCACAAAAAATCCCAAGAAATTTCATCCAGCTTTATGGAAAATTAAGGTTCACAAACAATTTGAGTAATTTATGGAAGTCCTGCCCTTCTTTATACTGTAAGAATAGAGGAGACCAGGAAGGGTTTCAGAGGCAGCAAGCAGGAAGACTAAAGATTTGGAGCAGCCTCTGATCGAGGAACATTTCCGCGTGTTCAAAAATAAAAGACTGAAAGGGAATACAAGAGAGGTCTTCAAAGCAGCAGGACCATGAAGAAGGACAGGGAGTAAAGACATGAAAAACTAGATTAGACAACACAGCAAGAAAACATGTCCAACTTCCAGATATCCACCTTTTAGGGCAGGTTTCAACAGGACATTTCCACACATACTTTCAATCCCGACTTTTGCTCTCGTTCTCCACATTCACGTCAGGCATATCCACCAAAAGACACGGGTTGCTACAGAAAACACCAGCCTTCCTTAATCACACCTCTAACAGAAAGAAAGGAGTAAACAATTACGAGAAGACACTAGCATTAAGGTCGTGACGCTATGGAAAATGACGGCAGAACAGCTCCAAGCAATTTCGATAAAAAAGAAGAGGAGACAGCGGGATTAAAAACCAAGCACCTATGTAACAGTGTAAAGAGAAAGAAGACACGAGGCATACTGCAGTCAGAGAGTAAGCACCCGCCAAGTACCCACCGCCACCAGGACACGGGGGCTCAGCCCGGCTACCAACGGTGCCTGACCACGGCTGGGACACAACGGCCACAAGCACCAACGGGCGTCGGGGGAAGGGGCCAGAGGCCAGAAAGGGACGGCCACTCACCGTGTCCAGGACAGCGGGCGCCTCCGGCTGCGTCTC